GTACTTGGATGCTTTGGTTTGATCAGGGGTGGTACTTGGTCCAAAAAGTTTGAGAACTACTGATCTATGGGATGAGACCGGAACTACATGACATCTAGGGCTGAAACAGACCAGTCAAAAGGCACATGCTTGCCCAGGCTCTGCAAGAGGACCCGAGACAGAAACCCACAACACATCATTCTCAACCTCATGCAAAACATGCATTTGCTGATATACAACTTGTATTCTGTTCCAGGGTGGATAATTATGCAACTGCCTGGTGATCAGATCTGTTTACATCAAATTAAGCACCTAATGAATTTACCTATGGTATGTCTGTGCAATAAAATGTCAGTGCACCTGCAACAAAAAAAGACTGTCCTTCTCACCATAACTTTGTGAATGTTCTACTGGTGTAAGCAGTTTCTTTTTCTTGCTCAAGGCAATTATAATGCAAACTAAACATGACACACTTAAACCAAATATAAACAAAACAAGGCAAAAAAAAGAGAGAGGCACTCTTTAAGCTTCTAGAACATTCTCAGAGGCCCGAAGCTTATTCAAAAAAGCTTATTCAGTTCAAAATTTTCCTCTTCATTACTCATCTAATCTCTCAAGCTCTATCACATCTTCCTGAAGACAACTTCACTCAGTAACTGAAAGGGTATAGATTTACACTAATTTCCTTAATATTCCATTTTAGAACAGAACACAATACTTTGTCATATTCTTTGCATATTTATAGTGATTTGCACAAGGTATGAGGTACTGTATGGACAAGATATAAATAAGTATGAGAGTTTTTTTTCCCCCAGTATAAACATTTTTCCTTCTTCACAGACGGTTCAGGAATGTGTCCCTTGTGAATAAGGAGAATTGTGTGTGCAAAACTGTTTGAGATGATGACACTGGAACTGGTCTCATTGTCTTTTATTATCTGTTGAGGGTTTGTCATATACATGTGAACTCTTGGACCAGAAAACGAGGAAACCTAACTGATCGATGTCATGTGCTGTCTGAGCCTAAAGACATGGAAAACTGTTAGATATTGACCACTCTCTGTAGTGAGAAAGCCATCATGCCTGGAGCATGGAAACAGGAATGACCTGCTGTGGCTTTAATCTCAGTTCAGTTCAGTGGCTGGGGAGCAACGGGGTTCACAGAAAAGCAATGACAGCAGCTCATAAAATTCAAGTCCTCAA